AATTGCTTCTCAGAGACCAATTTGAAGGCCTTTGCTTCACAAGCTGCAATCTAATACAAGCGCCGTCCATGGTTTATCGAATTAAAGTGAGTGTGTTTCTTCACCATGAATGCAGAGATTCAGCTTCTGAAAGCAATTCACCTCTGCAGATGGTTTGGGTTGCAAGACAAACAAAAGGACAACAGGAGCTCCTTGAATAGAGGTTCACACTCGGCATGATGGAGAGCTGAAGGGATGCAGCGTTTGGACGGGTCACATCAACACAGACGACAATTAGAGGAGTCCTGCGGTGCATACAGCATTACAACAACAAACACTGTGTCTCTCAATACACTTCCAGCTATTCAGCAGTCCGGACACATCCCTCTCAGATGACTCTCATAGTGTGTAAATAATCATGAGGAAATTTAAGATGATGTTAAACAATTATGAGCTCTGTCTGTTTCCAAACACGAGGATATATAGAGTGAAATCTGAGCGGTTATCAAATAAAAATGCAAATAAATGATCCATTAAGGTCCGACTAATAATTTAAAGATTTTGTTATGGTTTGCTTACCTTTCCGAAAGCATATGACTTTTCGGTAACACTTTAGATCATTCATTAATTCTCACGATTAACTATTGGCTTGATACCTGCATATTGTTAAGATATTTGCTGTTTATTTGTATTTATTAACCTACCCAACTTCCTTAATAATTATTAATATGTGGCAAAGTAGGTGATAGTAAATGGTTTGTTGAAATGGAGATGTTTTGTAGAGTGTACGTGCTGCCCTTCTTTTAAGCAGTAAAAGTGAATGAACACATTGGGCCATATTCTACACCTGGCACAATAAGGCAAAAGACGTGTTTGGCATGGTGAGTTGCTATTTTCAGACCTGTGCAACCCTAATTTTCCCGTTTTGCACCACGTTGTTTAAATAGCAAATCCATTTGCGCCACTTTGTGGACTCATGGGTGTGCTGGTCTAGAATGGAGGTGTGTTAAGGCGCATTGTTGGCTCATTGCTATTTTAAGGAACTGAAATAGAATGGCAATAGACCAGCTGAAAGCAGGTCTGAAGTCCAGCACAGAGCACATTAGTTGTAAGCCTTAAACACGTACATGTTGCTTAATGTACAGCAATATGCTAATATCTTTACATATTAAAACGAATTAAAGATTAAAATATTACAGAAAAAAAATTAATTTCTATACATAATTTAAAAACCACTGCCTCCGTGAGGTGAAGAGAAGAAGTGAAGAGAAAGACAAAATAAAGCTCATTCTTAATCCTTGCACTGCAGTTTTCTTGCTAGTGAAACGTTTTTCCACTTACTGTACAAAGTCCGCCATGTAAATAGCAAATGCACCATGGTGCGACACAACAGACTCTTAAAGGGACTCGGAGATAAGACTCTGATAGGTTTAATGCACGTTATGCTCAAAACACACCCAGAACTCAGTAAGAGAATAAGCACAACCCTGCTAGACAATGCGCCGCAGAGCAAACTATTCTTTAAAATAGCAAAAGTGGATTCTGACATGGCCCTAATGCTTTTGCACCATGCAGTTTAGACTTTGTGCCTAAATCGTTAAAATAGAGCTCATTCTGCCAGGCTCCAAATATTCTCTCAGGAAAAACATTGATAATATGGAAGGTAAAGGTTATGGAAGGTTTTTTTTTTTTTAATTTTTTTTTTTAAATCTCTTTAAATAGTCGTTTTTCTGGAGTTATTGATGGGCCAGTTTTGCCTCACCATTTTTTTTTCTTTTCTTTTTTAATTGATGTAGTTAAAGTGGGGAAAAAAACCCAATGAAGAACTGTTTAAGTCATAATAAAGAAACTAAAAATTTAAACTGTCATATAAATATTATAAAGAAATAAAATCATTGAAGCTGAATGACAAGAATGTGAGTAAAAGCTGACTTGAAAGATGAAATATGTCAAATATTAATATAATCCCTTAAAATTAGACATTCATTACATTTCTTAATTTTTTTAATTATATATGTGTAAACATTTTAAATCAAATTTTAAAACAAATGAAACTAATGTATATTACTCATTCATTCATTTCCTTTTTGGCTTAGTCCGTTTATTAATCAGGGGTCACCACAGCGGAACGAACCGCCAACTCATCCAGCATATGTTTTATGCAGCCTTTCAGCTGCAACCAATCATGGGGAAACACCCATACACACTCATTCACACACATACACTATGGACAATTTAGTTTATTCCATTCACCTATAGCAAATGTGTTTGGACTGTGGGGGAAACCAGAGCACCCGGAGGAAACCCATGCATACACGGGGAGAACATGCAAACTCAACACAGTAATGCCAACTGACCCAGTCGATGCTTGAATCAGTGACCTTCTTGCTGTGAGGCGACATCGTTAACCACAGCACCACCGTGCAGCCCCTAAATCTATATTAAACAAATGTATTTTGTTCTGTATATTTTAATGAAAATACTTTTCTAAAATTAATGAACGGTTACTCTTTTTTAAATGACAGAAAGGTGAGTAATATAATGCTATTGGTTTAAAAAATATACATTAAATAAATACATCTGTTATTAAACTTCCACAAGCCCAAACAAGGTCTCTATTTCAGATTTGAGAACATCCACTATAACAAACAATTCTGCTTCATTTCCCTCTTGAGAAGCTTAAGTTGATCTTAAAGGGACTCCTTCAGCAATCTTAGAGAGTCTCTCCACTAATCAGCAGGAACTATAGGAGGAAATGTTCTGCTGATATCCAGAGCAGGAGAAACTGAACTGGAGGATCTGTGAGAGACGGTCAGGCTGAGATAATAACCAAACACTAACCAGCTGCAAACACTCACATCACATCTGTTCCCTTCCTTCAGTTTACACAGCTTCCTCTGCTCACTGAACACTGCATATTCATTCATTCATTCATTCATTTATTCATTCATTCATTTTTCTTCGGCTAAGTCACTTTATTCAATAGCGGTCACTACAGCGGATTGAACCGCCAACTTATCTAGCATATGTTTTACACAGCGATTCCCTTCAAGGAATAGATACTGCATATTGTTCAAAGAAACTAATAAGTCTAAAACACTATCCCTGCATACAGACTCTGTATGTGCAATGTTATTTTTCTTTTCAATGCAAGAAAACAGGTAAAAAAAAATAAAAAATTATTCCAGTTTCACTAAGACTGCAAATCCACTGAAAACTATTTCCCATCATTCAATTCAGTTTCCCATCATACAGTCTATTTCTTCACTTGTGTAAATGTGTCTAAAAATCTCTTCATTTGTCAGTTTTTATATTAATTTCAGTAATATTATTCATATATATATATATATATATATATATATATATATATATATATATATATATATATATATATATATATATATATATATATATATATATATATATATTTGTAGCTTTATTTACCAAAACCAAAAAAGCAATTATAAATTAATTTATATTATAAACCTTAAAAGAAAAGTTGTGTTTTTTAAAGTTATATGTTTAAAAAGTTTCCAGCTTCTATACTCTTAAAATCATTAAGCATAAATCCTAAATTGTTTCTTAAATTCAGTGGAAAAATGGCAAACAAATCTAAATAATAATAATAACAATAAAAATAACAACAATAACTACAACAATAATATAAAAAATAATAAAACATAATAATATTAATAAAATGTAATAATAATAATAATAATAATAATAATAATAATAATAATATTAATAATAATAATAATAATAATAATAAATAAATAAAATAATAATAATACAAATCTGCAGATTCTATTTGTCCCTATATAACAGTGGTGATTATTCATTCACTGATTTTCCTTTGGCTTGGTCACCACAGCAGAATGAATCGCGAACTGCGCATGTTTTGTGCATGTGTTTTTTTTTTATTTTGCTTTTTAGTTTTTATTGTATCAGGCTACGATGAAATACAACTTTTTGACTTCATTATTCTCCATTTGTAGAAAATATAGTACACAGCATATCTCCACAATACTTCACATGCAATTTTCCATTCTGATCTACTTTCAGGACAGCTTGTTTAATTATTTGTCACCATCTGACAACAGATTGATGGCAAACCCAACAATTAGTGCAAATAGCCAATCCAAACGGCCAATCCAAAAGTCTCATTAAACTTAATTCAACCTAATTTTACTGTTTTCAGATTTTTAAATGTTTGCTCAATCAATCAATCAATCAATCAATCAATCAATCAATCAATCAATCAATCAATCAATCAATCAATCAATCAATCAATCAATCAATCAATCAATCAATCAATCAATCAATCAATCAATCCCTATTCATTTACACCACACTTTCTTATAAACACTCCATGTTTCTGGGAAAATATTGTGCAATTCTAATAGTGCTTCATGCAGGTGAGTGAGCTGGACAAACCACACTCTTTTGCACCAGATACTTGCCTATAAACACTGAATTACAAGAACTCAATAATAAATAACAATTAATAATAATAATAATAAATATATGGGGGGGTTTATTTCACTGTGGCGACTCCTGATGAACAAGGGACTAAGCCGAAGGAAAATGAATGAATAAATGATAATAAATATATATAAATCCTTACATTTATATAATTATTATTTAAATAGTAATTTTAATAAAATAAATAAATAAATAAAAAATAAAAAAATAAAATAAAATACAAAATAATAATAAAAACATAATAAATTGCTAATTATTATTTTTTTGTTGTTGTTTATTATGTCTTTGTAGGAAAGTGTCTGTATTTTATATTATAATAAATATAACTTAAGTTATATAATTATATATAAATCCATTTATGCAAATAAAACTAGCTTAGACTTATCTCGGATGATTTTTAATGTTTTTTTTAATCCTCATTTGTAAGACACTTTAGATAAAAGAATCTGTTAAATGACTAAATGTAAATGTAAAGTGGAGCAGTTTATTAGTCAAAAGTCTGGTTTGGACTGGTGAATGCAAATAAACGAGTGACTTACTCTTTGCAGGAAGTTGATATAATGAACCTCTTTGGAGAAGTTGAAGTAAATGTTGGTGTCATAAGCGTCGTCTCCAGCGTTAGAGATGGTCAGATTTAATGAGACATTTTTGACTCCACCAAGAGCCAGATGAGAACTGATGTAACGCCTGAGTAATCACACAAACCAAAAGGAACATCAGTTACACATGTTTTATAATGCGAATCCATAAAACCCATTAGAACTATTCAAAATCAGATTTAAAACAATGCAAAAAGCCTAACAAGTATGTTTTGCTTTTACGATTTTTCTAGAAATTCACCCACAATACTGTTTATTGTATTTACTGCATATATCACTGTAGCATTTGTTTTATAAGCAAAATAACAACAAAAAACAACAAAAAAACAAACAAACAAACAAACAAAAAAACTAATGAGACATCAAATTTTATAAAATTGTATAATTTTTTTTATATATTTTCTCCCCTTATAATATTAATTTTATGAACTGTTTTTTTGCAAACATATGCCCATGCAGATGAAGTTAAAATTATTCGCTCTCATACGATTTCTTTTCTTTTTATTAAATAATTCCCAAATTATATTGTAGGAAGCAAGGAATTTCCACAGTATTTCCTATAATATTTTTTCTTCTGGAGAAAGTCTTATTTGTTTTATTTCGGCTAGAATAAAAGCAATTTTTAATTTTTTAAAAACAATTTTAAGGTCAATATTATTAGCCCCCTTAAGCAATATTAGTTTCAGATTGTCTACAAAACAAACCACTGTTACACAATGACTTTAAGCTGAATACTAGTACCTTGAAAAATATTATGTGCTGTCATCATGGCAAAGATAAAAGCAATGAGTCATTTTTTAGTTATTAAAATGTTTAGAAATGTGTTAATAAGAAAATCTCCCCTTCGGTAAACAGATATATGGGGGGCTAATAATTCAGGAGGGCTAATAATTCTGACCTCAACTGTATGCCCACACCCTCACACTGACGTAAATGTTTTTACCCAGACAGCAGCAGTTTCCCATGAAGCTGGAGGTCAGCGGCGCAGTCATCTGATAGACAGTTTTTCTCAAACCACGTCTGTGAAGAGTCAAACACAGCAGACACAGAAGTCAGCTTTGCACTTAAACACACTAGACTAGATGGTGCTGTTGGGCAACACTTCACTTCTTGAAAACTCCAGTATGACAATTTATCCAGAAAAACAATGCATTCATTTTTAAACATTTGCTGTATCCATCACTGGAGAATTTGTTGTACAGATCATCTTTTTTGTAGTATTTCAATATTGTTTATATATATATATATATATATATATATATATATATATATATATATATATATATATATATATATATATATATATATATATATATATATATATATATATATATATATATATATATATATATATATATATATGTGTGTGTGTGTGTGTGTGTGTTTATATATATATATATATATATATATATATATATATATATATATATATAAACATTATTTAAAGAATCTATATTGCTAAGTCTAGTATTCTAGTATTGTGTAATGAATAATTATTTAACTCTTTTTGCATAGTGATATGTCCATGACATTTTTACTAGCAAATGCGTATTTTTGAATTTTAATTTAACCTTTAGTAAATAAAAAAATATTTAATAATTAAATAGTAAAAAAACGTTTTGGTCATTTAAACATTAAACATTAAAACCTTCAAGCCCAAATTAGTACAATGGGCTATATGCACCCTAACCCTAACCCCAACTTTTAATTTTCAGCCAGGCAGCTCCAGGGCTTCAAGTGAACTGTCTTTCCATAACAAAACTGTCACGTTTAAGGTCTGATTTCTTTAAAAAATCAGCGGTCTTCACTGGCTGGAAATATACGATATAAAGTGGGTCTCAGACCGGACAAGAAGCACTGCATTAAATCCCATTTCCCCCATTGCCAAGTCTTTAAAATAGGACAGTTTATTTTACCTCTGTATTTTCAATGGAATTTCTGCGCTAACCTGTTGCTAATGATGGCTTCAGTGACTAATTCCAGCCTGATCTCACGAGAAAACGTAAGTATTTTACGTTTTGCCAGTTTAGTGGCTAATTCGTACAAATTTGTTTGAGTTCAGTCGTACGAAATTGTATGATTTTAAAAAGGAGGCGTGGCACCTAACCCCACCCCCAAAACCCAACCGTCATTGGGGGATGAGCAAGTCGTACTAAATTGTACGAATTAGATCTCACGAATTCATACGAATTAGCCACTAAATCAAAAAGTTACGAATTGCCGTGAGACTGTGTTGCTAATTCTGTCTTTTACATCACTTTACGGTTGAACAACTAAATAAATGCTTAAGTCTTTTTAACTGAATGTTTTGTGATTACATTACATTAGGGATGCTGTAAACTTTGTGAAATTAAAAAATACTCACATTAAGCCTCCACCGAAAGTTTATCGTTGGCTTTAAAACTCTAGCTGTGCATAGAGCCCATTCATATTTGTGACAGCATTTAAATTACAATTTTATCTGTCATTTCTTGCTGCTAAATTGCAAAAATAATATAATTTCAGTTTTCAATAGAAATTTCCGCAGTGTTTCTTGAAAGCTTTTGAGTTCAAATAATAATAATAAAAAATTGTTACAATTTGTATAATAAAGCATCTATTTTAGCATCATTAAAGTTTTCTTTTAAAGAAAATTAAATTTATCTAAAATGAATCAATCAATAATTCTGTTAGAATTCGGTTAATATTTACTTTGCATTACACTAATATTTTAAAGACACAGGATTTCCATGTTTTCATGAAGAGCAAGTTCAAGGACTTTTTAAAGCACCAATATTTTTTTATAGAGTCATGAACGTCCTTACTATAGTTGACATTTCACTTACACTTAATATTTACATTGAAAATGTCAGTAATTTAAAAAATTTGACCATTTTAAAAAAAGTCATGCTCAAAAAACTTTCATAAAAAATCCATTCAAGTTCAGCAATATTTTCAGAAAATATAAAATATAAAATTCTGAAATATTGAGAAAATGCGCTTTATTTGTGAGTGTTATTTTACAAGATTTATATGTAGAATTTTCTATAAAAAATTCAACATTTTTTTCTTTCTGTTTTTAACAATTGAGTACAATTGTTAAAATAAAACCATAAACAAATTCATTCATTCATTCATTTTTTTTTCTGGTTAGTCCCTTTATTAATCTGCAGTCGCCACTGCGTAATGAACCGCCAACTTATCTAGCATATGTTTTACACAGCGGATGCCCTTCCAGCTGCAACCCATCACTGGGAAACACCCATACACTCTCATTCACACACATACACTACGGACAATTTAGCTTACCCAATTCACCTGTACCGCATGTCTTTGGACTTGTGGGGGAAACCGGAGCACCCAGAGGAAACCCACGCGAATAAGGGGAGAACAAGGAGAGACAAACAAAAATGTCTTCTTGCTGTGAGGCGATCGTGCTTACCTACTGCGCCACCATGAGGCCCAGCATAAACAAATTCAAATTCAAATTCAATTCAAGCACTTTCAAGGACCTGAGTTTGTTGTTAAGTACTTTTCAGGTCTTAAATACACATGTCGGATATTCAAGTATTTTAAATACATTTAAGAAGCGTGGAAACCCTGAAGACAACTATGCATGTTTTGTGCAGTTAATAACCCTGTTTAACGATAACACTTTGACATTTCACTGTATTTTTTAATACATATATCAAAGTATTTCTATATTTGATGTTTTAACTAACAAGTAATGAGACTTGTTAGTCAGTAATAATGCTTCAGACAGTTTGTGTTGGCCGATTTCTGACATCAACACCATTGTTTTAGCGCTCCAGGCAGTCTTTCTGATGGTGGACAGAGTTATTAACAGCTCCAGATTCTATCTTAATGGATTCCTGACGTGCTGAAAGATGCCAGTGTTGTGTTTCCAGCAGTAGAGCGGGTTATGAAGCATGCTGCTGGCAAATAAATTCATCAATCGTCAACATTCCTCTAGCAAAGAGTCAACAGCCATTATTGAGGACTAACTAAAACCACATTTATGACTACAGAAGAGGGTCATCTGTGGCATTCAAAGCTGCTGGGTAATGCCAATCACAAATGAGAACAAGGGTATTTATAAAGTTCTGTACCTTACATTCATTTACAATAGAAAATCATTGTCCAGTTATTAAAATTTTAAAACAGCAAATTTTTATTTAAAACTATTATTAAAACTACACACAAAAATGTAGTTATTTATTACTAAATACTGTCTGAAACCTATACTATGATATACCATACAAATATTGTGCTACTATACTATAATATTGTATAAAGAAATATATAAAATATTTATATATATATTATTAATATATATAACAAAAAAAACAAAAAAATATATACAAAATATAAATAAATAAATAAATGAATGAATGAATGAATGAATAAATAAACACATACAAAAAACACATACAACTTAAATAAATAAATATAAATAAAAAAATAAATGAAGGAATGAACAAAAATATAAAAAATACAAACAAAACAAATATAAATAAACATAAATTAATTAATTAATAAATTAACAAAAATACAAAAAATACATACAAAATAAATATAAATAAATGAATAAATAAATAAATAAAGAACAGAAAAACAAACAAAAATATATACAAAATAAATATAATTAAATATAAATAAATAAATAAATAAATAAATAAATAAATAAATAAATGAACAACAATACAAAAATGTAAAAAACACACACACAATAAAAATAAATAAATAAATAAATGAAAAAAATACTAAAATCTAAAACACACAAAATACATCCAAATAAATAAATAAATAAAGATCAGAAATAAAAATATAAAAAACATAAAAATAAACTTAAATTAATTAATTAATAAATGAACAAAATTGTAAAAAATATAAAAAACACATACACAAACACAAAATAAATGTAGATAAATAAAATTAATAAAAAAATTACTTTTAATGCCAATACATTGATATTATTACATAAAATAAATAATAATAAAATAAATAAAATCTAAATATTAATCTGAGTAAAATATGTATATATTCTATCTATACATGACATACTGTTAAAAATACATTAATTTAATTGAAAAGAATATATAAATATAAAATATGTTCAAACATTTAATTTAATATTTTATTATTATTATTATATTTATTTATTTATTTTTATTGATTAAATATTATAGATTATTAGTTGCAGTAAAGTTAAAACAAACCTCGTTTTTCGCTGCGATCTTCTCTCCTTTTTTCCAGCGTAATATAGGAGACAGAGGGGGAAGATCACGGTCCTGATGTTCATCAACAATGTGTTTTCCTAAACTATAGGCTGCCTCAAACACAATGGCGGCAAACACATCTTTCACTTCTTTCTGTTGAAGACACACACACAAAAAAAGGAAAATTGAAAACTTTGCCACTTAAAAGCTGAAATGTGTCAAGGTCTTGAAACATAAATAAATAAATAAATAAATAAATAAATAAAAACACATTTAAAAACACACAAAACAGTTATAAAAATAAAGAAATTAGATTTAATACCAATCCATTGATATTAATGCAAAAAATAAATAATAATTAAATAAAAAAATAAATGTATAAACAAACACATAAAAAAACACATACAAATTGAATTAATAAAAATAAATAAATTACATTCGATACCAATACATAGACTAAAAAATAATAAAATAAATTAAGTACAAACACATTACATCTGTTTCAAAATAAAAGCGTAGTCTGATAAAACTTGAAATGAATAGCCCACATGACAAGCCACTCAGCCAATCGGTGGCCTTGTAACAGGCTTTACACAAGCTAAAACCTTATTTGTGGTGAAAATCTTTATACCCGAAGCTCTTCGTAAAGCTCCTTGAAGCTCTCGCTGGCTCGCTCAAGTGAGTCCCGAGCCATTAAAGAGCCACCAAAAGCTATCAGATGAGCGTTTGGAAAAAGCTGGCACTGCCCTGTGCTGAAACACTTCATCTCCCCCTATTTTGGCAATATGAGAGAGCATGGCGGATTGAGGAGTGTTTCCTTTGGCACACGATGTGGAAACAGTCGAACGAGAGACTGAACGGGATCAAAGCTCATTAGAGACACTACAGAGGCGGAACATAGAGAAAGATATTAAAGGAGCCCTCCTCTTAATTTAAAAATAGGCTCGTTTTACAGCTTTACTAGAGTTAAACTGTTGAGTTTTACAATTTTTTAAAAATTTATTCAGCTGATCTCCAGGTCTGGCGGAAGCACGTTTAGCTCAGCATAGATCATTGAATCAGATTAGACCATTAGCATTTAACATCTTAGTTCACTTCTTGGAAAAGCCAATATGACATAATCTCTATAAACAATGCTTTAGGGCCCTATCATACACCCGGCGCAGTGTGGCGCAAGGCGCGGCGCAATAGTCTTTTTTCAGCTTGGCGCAAGAGTCGTTTTGAGGCGTTGCGCTAGGCTGTTTAAATAGCAAATGCATTAGCGCTCATTTGTGCGCCCATAGGCGTTCTGGTCTAAAAAGGAAGGCGTTCTGAGGCGGACCGCTGGCGCGTTGCTATTTTGAGAAACTATAATAGGTTTTTCATTAGACCAAAACTAACCCGTTCTAAACTCCGGCGCAGAGTTGCGCCTCACTTACACACTGCTTAATACACACAAGAGAGCAATAGGCAAATATCTTTACATATGAAAAAAATTTATATTAAGGATATATATAGGATATAATAAGAATAGATATAGAATATAAATATAAAGGATTAAAATATTACAAAACATATTATTTTCTAGCCTACATAAATATGAAAAACCACTGCTTTTATATCTTCTTCATCTCGGGAGGCTTTTTCAGTTCATTCATAACAATTTGCTATTGTATAATGTTGTTATTATTAGCAGTATTATTTATTATTATTATTATATCCATATTTATATTTGTTTTATTAAAAACAAGCTGAGATTTGCCCACCTGTCAGGTTTTAGACCATATGGGACACAGCATGTGTTTTAGGATATAACTCAGGTTTTTGAGCACATTTTGTTATTATTGTTCATTTATTCGTTTGCTGGAAATTAGAACTGAATTTAGAAATAGTTTTAAAACGAATATTTGCGTTTAACAAACAAAAGTATTTATTTATAGACTAATTGATGTCTGTGCGTAAAGGTTTCCTATCCAAGAGTGAATGTGAAAGTGATCCATTATCTCTCATTCTCACGCAGTAGATGCTCTGTTTAACAGTTTTCTGTTAAAAAACTGTTAACTGTTTGCTAGTGAAATACTCATTTTTTCCACTTAGACTTACTTTGTGTCCTGTAAAAAGCGAATGCGCTCTTGGTGCGACGCAGCTGACTCTTAAAGGGAATGGGAGATGAGACTCTAGTTGGTTTATTCTCAAAACACACCTATAACTCATTAAGAAAATAAAGTCAACCCTTTTAGACCATGCGCCACGGCGCAAGGCAGATTTCTCGTCCTTAAATTAGCAAAAACGCGTCCTGACACGCCCTGAAAGCATTTGCGCCCTGCGTTTTGCGCTCTGCACATGGACCGTCAAAATAGAGCCCTTTATATTTAAATGTGTAGTTTATGCATCACTGAAGAACTGCTTGTACACACTGTAAAAACTTATGGGTTCCACTTAATTACTTCATGTTGTCTCAACACAAATCATTCAAGTTAACTTATAATGATGGTTTAATGTATAATGATGGTTTGATCTGTGGACTATCGACAAAAAATATAGCTTAAAGGGGCTAATAATATTGACCATTAAATGTTTTTTTAAAAATTAAAAACTGCTTTTATTCTAGCTGAAATAAAACAAATAAGGCTTTCTCCAGGAGAAAAAATATTATCAGACGTATTGTGAAAAATTTTCTTGCTCTGTTAAACATCATTTGGGAAATATTTAAAAAAGAAAAAAAATTCAATAATTCCTCTGCTTTACTGTCATACTTCTGCCTGACCTCAACTGTAAAACAGTTAAGTTGTCCCCTCAAAAAATGCAAGAATTGTGTTGGTTCAACTCATAATAAATAAGTAATTTGAACAAATAGCAAACGTAATTTTCTGAGTGCAGAAAAAAAAGAAATAAAATTTTACATATTTTTGGAAACTCAATATTTTTAACTTCAAGATTTTTTCTTACAGGTTTATATGTAACTTACTCTATTATGCTAGTATTTTAATATACAATATTATTTATAAAATTTATATTGCTAAGTCTAGTATTCATCATTCATTTTCCTTCGGATTAGTCCCTTTATTCATCAGAGGTTGCCACAGCGGAATGAACCACCAGTCTTGTATTGTACAAGGAGTAAATATTTTATTCTTTGCTTAGTGATATTTCTATGACAATTTTACAAGCAAATTCGTATTCTTGCATTATAATTTAACCTTTAAGTATTTACTGTATAAATAGTATTAGGTAAAAAAAAAAGTGTTGATAATTTAAATGGCATTAAAACTTTGCTAAAAATAGGCCTATTTATGTGATATTCAATTTTAAATAACAATTTTATCAGTTATTCGTTTCCACTATATTGTGAATAAAATAATTATAATATTATTTACATTTTTAAATAGGTATGAGTGTGTATGAGAATGTATGGGTGTTTCTCAGAGATGGGTTGGCTGGAAAGGCATATGCATATTAAACATATTAAAAGTTGTTTGTTTATTTGTTTGCTTTATTTATTAAGCACATTTAAAAACAACAAATGTTGACCAAAGTGCTTTACAAATCAACCAGCACACAAAATCTATACTTGTAAACAAAATAAAATAATGACTATCAAATACTAGAGACAGAAGATTTGAAAGAACCAAGGGAAGAGCCTGTCAAGACCTGATTTATTCCACAGATGAGTGGCTGCAACAGAAAAAGCTCTATCTTCTTTTGATTTTTATTCAAGACTTGGGAACAACCAGCTGAAACTGTTCAGAGGTGAAGAGGCCAAGATGAAGTATGCCAGTGAAAAAGCTCACCAATGTTAGTAGGACGAAACAGGTCACATAATGCAAGTCAAAACCATAAATAAACGAAGAAAACTACCAAATAAATCATGAATCACAAAATATTGAAAACTGATAAATTATAGATATGTTTACAGTGTACATGAGATGTATATGCTTCTACTGAGCCAAATAATGAGAAAGAGCCAAATCTCCTACCACAGCTATATTGATGACACTCAGATCTTCTTAGCCTTACTGTCTAATGACTACAGCTCCTTTGACACCCTCTGCCAATGCATTGACGAAATTAACAATTGGATGTGCCAAACCTTTCTTCAGTTAAACAAAGAGAAAACTGAAGTCATTGTGTTTGGGAACAGAGATGAGGTTCTCAAGGTGAATGCATACCTTGGCTCTAACGGAGCTCCAAGGCTCTAAAGGTCAAACAACAAAAAATAAGGTCAAGAATGTTGGTGTGACTCTGGAGTCAGATCTGAGTTTCAGTAGTCATGTCAAAGCAGTTAGTAAATCAGCATACTACCATCTCAAAAACATTGCAAGACTTATGGCCCGTTTCCACTGAGTGGTACGGTAAGGTACGGTTCGGTTTGGTATGCTTCTATGGTCGTTTTCACTATTAAAAGGCTTACCGAGCCAAACCGTACCGTACTACTTTTTCGGCACCCTTTCGAAAGGGTCCCAAACACAAGAAAGGGTACCAAAAGGCGGAGCTAGATGCGCAGCTGAACGCTATTGGTTTACAGAGATACGTCATTTGCTTAGGCAACAAGCCAGAATGTAAACAAAGGACACGCCATGTTTGAAATACACAGCAAGAGATTACTTGCGGTCACCGCGCGTCTATATCTGAAATAACAAACCTCTTGAGCTGATGATAGTAACTTGCGCTTGATTATTGACAAGCTTTGGAAACCCGATCCTGTGAGAAGCTGACAAACGCGAGAATGACACATCCAGAAAGAGAGTGGAGCGCGGAAAAAAGGGGAAGCCAAGGAGCACGCTATTTCTTCAGCAAATGTGAAAAAACTGCCTTGTTTTAATTTTTATCATCAACTTTTGGACTAATAAGAACTGGGAATGATGGAATGACTCTCTAACAGAGGCTACATGTGCTGCTGAAGATTACGGTCACAGATGAGAGGTTTTCACTGACTGTAGGCTATATTTTGTGTTGTTTTGAACCTAATTAAGGACAAAATGTCTGCTGTGTGTATTTATTCTGTAGTTGGTAACATATTGGAGACTGTAAGTGTCTGTATGTGTTCATATATGTTCATTTATTTATTTATTTAATACAATTACAGACGTTACAGTAGGCTATTTCGCACTGTCATTGATCTGCAGTTATAATCAACTCATGTTTATAGAAAAGTTAGTAATAAACATTTATAC